CATTGAATGAAAAGTAGTAAAAGTGTTGCATGCTTTTAGGGGCATTTTAAGTGAGAGTATGAATGAATTGATGTAAACTACGTTACTTTACTTGTTATACCCTCCACCATTCTATGAAGGGTATATTAACTTTGTCATTCCGTTTGTAACTCCTCGAAATACTCATTTCAGACACAACAAAGTACATATGTATATTCTTGATCAGCGTAAAATTCTAAGTCGATTTAGCGATGCCCGTCTGTCTGTTTGTTGCAATCAGCTATCTTTCGAACGAATTGTTATAGAAGGCTAAAATTTTTGCACACATGTTTATTTTGCCAGTAAGTAGGTTAAGTTCGTAAATGGGTCATGTAGGTCCTCGTTTTCATATAGCCCCCATATAACGGTACCTCTCGATATTCGGTATTTTGATGGTTTTAGCGACATTTTAACCGGAATTGTTTCAAATTTGGTATTTGAAGTTCGAAATGGATACTACAGCCTAAGACAGAAACCCCCTATAACGGCACCTCCCAATATTCGGTATTTTGATGATTTAAACGTTATTATTCATCGGAATTGTTTCAAATTTGGCATTTGAAGTTCGTAATAGATACTACAGCTTATGACATAAAATTGTCTATGCAGGTTCACGTCTTCGTATAGCCCCCTATAACGGCACCTGTCAATATTCGGTATTTTAATGATTTTAGTGTCATTATTCACCAGAATTATTTCAAATTACGTATTTAGAGTTCGTAATGGGAACTTCAGTCTGTGACACAAAATGTTTTATGCAGGTCCAGGTCTTCGCATAGGCCCCATATATCAGTGCCTCCCTATATTCGGTATTTTGACGATTTTAGGTACAATACTCACCGAAATTGTTGTTGTTGTTGTAGCAGTAGTACATGTGTGTGTTTGTGTTCTGCTAATCTGGTTCCAGCTCCAGGTTTAGAAATTCGGCTACTTTAACGGGCTGTAGCCAGAGATCCTCTGGAGTGAGTTGGGTAGGTTTGGCTGAGCAATTAAAAAGGTGTAGCGTATTGTGCGGGCCTGTATCACACGCCGGGCAGGCGTCACGCACATCTTCATCAATTCGTGCCCAATACGAATTGAGGCGACTACACCATCCTGAACGTAATTGCGCCAAAACTACCCTGGTTTGTCTAGGCAGCTGACGTTCTTCTGCTGCAATGGATGGGGGGTGGACTCCGAGGACGGCATTCACTTTATAACTGCTAATAGCATCCGCGACTGCATCGGTGTGAATGCCACTCAGACCTGCCTGATAGGCTTCTTGATCTAGAGGCTCTCTCTTGTAGCGCTGGACCTCCCTCTCTAGATCATGTATGTCCTTCCTGACACGCCTGGGTGGGGGAGAGTTATCCACCATGTGATGGTTGGGATGGCTCTCACGGTAACACCCAAGCAGGTACTGCAACGAAAGCATATGACTATGCTGACGTAAGGGAAGGACTTTCGCCTCCTCATGTAGATGGTCCACTGGTGTCATGAGGAGGCACCCTGTCGCAGTTCTCAGGGCAGCGTTCTGGCAGGTCTGGATATTCTTCCACTGCGTAGCACTAGTATTCGCAGACCACACTGGAGCCACATAGTTGACCACAGACCGACCTATCGCGTTATAAGAGGTCAACAAGGTTTCTTTGTCCGCACCCCAAGAGCTGCCGGCTAGCGCCTTGAGGACCTTGTTCCTACTTTTCATCTTGTCGCAGATAGCTGTGGCTTGCGCGGACGACTTGAACATGCTGTCGAACGTTACCCCAAGAATCTTGGGGTAGTTCGTGGTCGGTATTAAATTCCCCTCGACCTGAACATTCAGCTGTGTTCTCATCTCCGCAGACCATGTGGTAAAGAGTGTGGCCGTTGATTTCGTGACGGATTCGTGACGAAATTGTTTGAGATGTCTTATTTGAAGTTCGGAATGAATGCTACAGCCTGTGACAGAAAACTGTCCATGCAGGTTCAGGTCTTCGTATAGCTCCGGTACCTCCCTATATATGGTATTTTTAAGATGCTACATTATACCCGTTTATAATATGGTAATGGCTTATAACAAACAATACCTATGTAGGCATTGTATAGACACCAATTTTTTGAAAACAAATTATTAAATTCGTTCCAAATGGTGGACGGTATTCAAAGTTAGGGACGGCCGAACTTACTGCTTTTTAACTTGTTTTCATTTTATATCCTTTGATAAGGCGAAAACGTTCCTCATCGACCCTAGGTCTCTTTACCCCAAATCCGTTTCAGGACATTTGGAGTCGATCTAGCGATGTCCGTCCCTCTGCTGGTTAGTGCGCACGATAATTATCGAAGGGAGTATCCGATTTGATCCAAACTTGGTACATCGAAATATTATTGTCAAACTTAGATCGAGTTCGGAGATGGGCGGTGATTGGTACATCGAAATGTGATTGTCAAACTTAGATCGAGTTCGGATGTGGGCAATATCGGTGCATTCCTTTTGATACCTCCCCCACAAAATGTCGAAATTGTCCAAAAAAGATATTTTACTGCGAAGGAAGGGGAAGTATAATCCGATTTTGCTCCAACTTTGCTAATCTTAATATTTGCATCAGTCCTAGGTCATGTCCGAAAATGGACAATATCGGTCCACTCCATCAAGTACCTCTCCGCCAAACGGTCAAAATTTGAAATAATTATAACTCTTATAAAATATAAAAAAAAGACTCAGATTGTCTTCAAATTATACATATCAAAATATTTTTATTAACCCAAGACCTGATGTCAAGATGGAATATATAGGTATCCGGTACCTCCCCCACAAAGGATCGAAATTTTTAATATCACATGAAGCTCATAATACGCTAAATTAATATCCCATTCCATTCAGACTTGGCACATCTCAATATTTCTATCAACATAAGATCTGTTAAAAAGATGGTAGACATCGGACCATTCCTTCTGGTACCTCATCCACAAAGGGTCAAAGTTTTGAATAACCAAAACGATCATAAAATCCGAAATAAGCATCTGGTTCTCTTCAAATTACTCACATCACAATATTTTTTATTAACTCAAGGTCTTGTGTGAAAATGGAATATATCAGCCCACTCCTTCTGGTACCTCTTCCACAAAGGGTCAAAATTTGAAATATCAATGAAACTCATAAAACAGGAAATTAACATCCGATTCCATTCAGACTTAGCACATCTCAATATTTCCATCGAAACAAGATCTGTTATAAAGATGGAAGGTATCGGACCATTTCTTCTGATACCTCCACCACATAGAGTTTAACATTTTAGATCTTTCCAACAGAAAGGCATTTAAAGATCCTCCATATATGCAGAGCTGTAAATAAAAGACCTTTTGGTGGACGATAAAAGGCTGTATAGAAGGTATCTAAAAGCTGCTTGAAATTAAAATGCGCCCTTGTATATTCAGGATACGTCTGCATACTCTTCAATGTCTGGAAAATATCCAGCAGATCTTCTGTGTATGTAGGACCACGACAAGTTCTTCTATGGACAGAATGTCTCTAAAAGGTTCTTGATATACAGAAAGTATTCTATGTATAGAATATGTCTTTTTACAAAATATCTTTGAAAAAAACTACAAAGGAAAAAAATCGGAAAACGCTTCTGTGTATGGAGGGCTCTAAAAAGTTGTTCGCTATAGAAAACCTAGAAAGGTCTTCTATATTATGGGACCCATAAGAGGTCTTCTATACATAGAAGACGTTTTGTGGGACTTTTATGCAAAGATGTCCTTATTGAGGACTTATATTATCCCTGAGGGAAGTTCCTCTGACAGAAATTAAATTCATAAGAGGAAGTCCCTTACACTGAATATGAAGGTCCTTTATAAATATAGAAGTCTCTTATGGAGTCTTCTATTCATAGAAGTCCCACAAAAGATCTTCTATGTATAGAAGACCTCTAATGTATAGAAGACCTTTATAGGATTAAACGCTCCACAATAAGGTGGAGGGTATATCATGTTCGACCCAACAAAATATATATATTCTTGATCAGCGTAAAATTCTAAGTCGGTCTAGCAATGTCCGTCTGTCTGTTGTAATCACCCTATTTTCCGAACGAAATAGACACATAGACAGGTTTAGTTCGTAAATGGGCCAAGTCGATCAAATTCTTCGTATAGCCCCCATATCGCGGTACCTCTCAAAATTCGGTGTTTCAATGATTTTAGCGACATAATTTAATTGTTTCAAATCTCGTATTTGGAGTTCGTAATTCTAAATCGATCTAGCGATGTCCGTCTGTGTGTTGTAATCATGCTATTTTCCTAACGAATTTAGATAGACGGCTAAAATTTTGCACACATGTGTATTTTGCCAGTAGGCAGGTTAAGTTCGTAAATGGCCCATGCCTATCAACGTATTCGTATGCGCCCCATATAAGGATACCTCCCTATCTTCGGATTTTTTGATGATTTTAGCGACATTATTTACCGGAATTGTTTAAAATTTCGTATTTGGAGTTCGTAATGGATAATGAAAAATTATCTATGCAGATCCACGACTTTGTAGAGCCCACACATAACGGTACCTTCTCATTCGGAATTATTTCAAATTAAGTATTTCAAATTAGGAGTCGGTACTACAGCCAATATCAAAACAATTACCTATGCAGGTCCTCGTTTTCGAATTTATTTTTTAAATGTTCAAGTTCCTTGCAAATGTTGGAGGGTATTAAAAGTTCAGCCTGGCCGAACTTAGGTCATTTTTTAATTGTTTTTACATAGAAAATCTCTTAAGAGTCTCCTAGATATATAAACCCAATAAAAAACTCTTATATTTACCAAGAAATGACTTTGAAAGAGCTTCTGCCTCTCGGGAAGCGTATAGCTATAGAGGAACCCTTTAAGGTTTTCTTCTATAGATATTTTTTTATCCGAGGGGGATAACTAATGGGATTTCTATTTATAGAAGATCTTTTAAATTCTTTTATCCAAAGAAGGCCTATAGAAGAAAAAAAACCCTTCTATCCCCCCAAAAATGAAAAAAACAA